TGTGTAGCAATTTGCGGGCACGATGAAAGCACTTCTGTAAATTGGGGTAATTTTAAATAAGTTTATTCAATTTGAATTTTTCGAGAACAGATCTAGATAATCGGATGAATGTCTACATTACGTTTTCAATTCCAGGACCAATTTGTCATTAAGACCATTAAAGAAAGGGATGATCTACAGGGCGTTTATTTCAAACGATATCCACTGTAACTTTTATACCTAGGTGTTGTCTGATTTTGATCAAATTTGACATCTAGAGCCAAAAGGATATGATCGGTCTTATAACAGCAATTATAAAGCATTGAAATATCAAATAAATGTTGTTTTTCATATTCAGTTTGTACTAAGAAAAGATGTTAAATACTAGTGAGAATAACAGATAATGTTCTGTCAAAACACGTTGATTCAGCTCTTGAAAATCTGCTCTGGAAAGCAAGAGGGATAGTCGATCATAGGATGCTTCGACGTAACTAAAGCTAACATTTACATTGGCAACCACACTGCTAATGTAACGATTCACTTAAAAAGTAGGTTATGTGGTGCATTAAGTTAGCAGATGTGTAGCTTCCTGATAGCACGTAAGCAACAACTGCGGCAACTTGCATTATTTTCAGGGCAGTAAAAGTTGAAGTGAAAGAAATCAGTAATTATATGGTCTGGCACTTTTCGTATCGTATCATAAGTTATATGTGCTCTTGTAAGCATTTGTTATCTCCCCACTTTCTTATTTTAGTGTTGTTGCTATAATGTTACAGACGAATATTGCTGCAAGGAATATGACGGTGATCAGGATGAAACGGGGAAAATTATGCCACCTATGAATGGAAATACAAAATTAATTGAACAAACCCTTGCGCCAAACTATGTTGGCCTAGCAAAAGATCTCACACTGAAATGGGTAAAAAATTATACAGGGTGTTCCAATTAAAACTTTCCACCTGGAAAATATCGGAATTAAAATAAAATCCCTCCTGGAAAATGTCGGAATAAAAAAAAATAAAAAATCTTGAGACACGTCGATTTTCTTTTCAAGGGGGACACATGATGGCGTACGTTTTGGTGTCTTGAAAGCTACCCCTTAGGCAGGGGCGTAAACTACCCTTAAACTTTAAATGGTACCCTTCGTTGAGTGACACCTCATTTTAAAGCTTTCAGTTCGACTCACGAAGACATACGACTTTTTAAATTTTAGTTTGGATATAACAATAAAGTCATTACTTAAAAAATAAGACAAAATATCAATGAATGAAAGAATGTTATTTTATCAAATGTTCCAATTGATTTCCTTCCGCTTCTATATAATAATAAATTTTTTGCTCTGAACGAACATTTCCAAGCATCTGACGACATTCTTCAATTTGCCGCCTCAAGGGAGTTCGGTCGTGTTGCATAAATATTCGTCTTTAAGTGTCCCCATAGAAAAGAGTCTAAGAACGTTAGATCTGGCGATCTGGGAGGCCACTCAATAAGGTCATTCAGTAAATTTTCAAAAACGTTTAGTAATGTTCATGATTAGGCGACCCTGAAAATGTCAACTCAATCCGTTGAGCGGTTTTCAAATTATATGATTTTTTTTTAATTGCGAATATTTGTCTCAGCCGTGGCAATGCAATGACGTCACCGCATGGGACGGCAGCCGACTTAGCGCTACTTCCAGCGCTAAATTTAATAAATGGAAGTAAATTTCGTAAAAGCAGATTCTTCTAATTTGCCAGAAGTAAGTATGATAATGGATGTTTCTAATAAAAACCACACACCACAAAATTCTAATTTTTTGCAGAGAACCTTAAAATTGTAATATCTTTCCGTCAAGCAAATAAAAAAAATGATGAATGAGCCCATTGAACCTCTGCGTCCTATCCAGCGATTTGGAAAGTTCTGATTAAGAAAATTACGCACCGTCTTTTTTAATCAAATTTTAATTTCTTTACACAGGCGGTAAATATCCAAATAAATAGAAAAGAAACTATAACTTTGTCACAAATTTAAAACTTTAGACGATAGGAGAGAAAAGTTTGTACATTTTAAAAAGCATTGATTTTTATTTTGTCCTTTGTAAGTCAATATTGGCGAGGTATATCTAGAAAATTTGTCAATACATTGAAGGTTGTTGTAAATAAATTAAATGTGGTACTATCTTTGAAAATGACGCGATTGTTTTTCTGTATTTTTTTATTTAAATATCGACTCAAATGTATTTAGATATCTAAATTGTATATACAAACAGTTAATATTTGGTTCATGTTTACAAAAAACGTATCAAAAAAACTTGTAGCATGCAAAATTGGATAGTAAATCTTCACTGGTCGTGTCCAAGTTTCTCGTTTTTTTTACTCAATAGCCGGCAGCATTCAATAAAACGTGAAATATCTAAAGCATGCCTTGGCAATCATTCGAAGGTTAGATAAATCCTTAAATAATAATAATACACCGATTGATTTCAATGCTAGCACGACAAAAAAGCAATAAAACATTTTTCTAAAGGTGTTTTTATTCTTCCTTTTATTGCACGGTAGCAATTACTATTATAATTATTGTCTACTTTTCAAGTCAAAATCTCCGTAGCAAGAAATGTCACCTTCGATTATTTTTTTCAGAAAAATCAAAAGATGTAATTGGAATATGTAAAATGGAAAGCAAACATTTTGAGATGGCTATGTAAGTGCTCTGCGGGTGTACAAAATGATTAAGAAAACTTCATTAAAAGGTACGTATTTATTAAACTTGTAACACCCCTGATTTTACTACTAGTTTGAATTATTTGTAAATTAAGAAATGTTTTGTACGCGTCTCAGTAGTGCAAAGCTTACGAATTTGATACCGATAAAACAATATCGTCTACCAAACGTATACATGGAAGTTGGTATCGTCCAAAGCATTACAATGCAATCCATGACGACTTAATTTACAATTTTATTTGTCCTTAGAATTCCGTAATAATAGAGGCCGACAAATGAGTATAAAGCGATCAATTTTACCGAAGGTTTTTTATCTACACCGCAATTTATTGTTATTATTAGTCATATCTCCAACAAAAACTGTTTTTCCCTAATATTGTTTTTAGTTAATCATTATTTCCTTATCGCTTTGATAAGATTGCTATAGTCGAATACAAATTTTATCTGACAGTAGGTACTACTTTACCTCAGTAAAAAAAAGGAGATAGTTATGTAACATGTAGGTATGTACATGAACTGCATAGTATAGTACAGGTTATTTGGATAAAGTGTGCAATTTCTATCGACAGCACTACATTTTATACAATTTAAAGCACACGAAAACCTGTATTGTTTAATGTTTATGGCATTCTGTGTTATGTTTTGTCTATGGTTATGTCTATCCTGGTTCTTTTGAATTGGAAAAATACGAAACGATATTTATTATTTGAGGTGCAGGTGTTACATGTTAAAAATTTCGAGGACGGATGATTTCGAATTAGCATTTCAAAAACAAGCCCCCGACTGATAAATTTATTACAGACTAAGCGCTATAAATCTATATAAGTAGCATGTCAACGAACTCTTCAAAGAAAATAATCTGATACTGATGATAAATTGGACAAGTCGAGATAACAATAGCATCAAGTTTAACAAGGTACAATCAATGCAATTTATAAGTGGTCTGCATTACATACTTTTATCCGCGTCACCGTTTAACAGTGTTTTGTTGTTTATTTATATCGTTTTATTCAGCGCTTGCATTAACGATAGAAAATACACGTAAATGAGCAGTTTTTAGTGAAATAAATAATAACAAATTTCCGTGGCTTTAAAAGGAAACTTCTCTCTTTGATCGCTCCCATATTTCCTGTTTGTTAAAATTTGCACAAACGCTTGATATAGTTCAATAATTTCTATTTTAAATTTAACTTTCCAATTTTTAATTACATTAATTTTTACGCGTAATCGCGTCTGCATTATTTGCAGTGTAAATTCTTAGCGTTTTACAGACAAGGGCGTAAGCAAAGGGGGCTAGAGGGGGCTAGGTTTTCTCCTCATAATGGAAAATTTAAACATACGTATACTTAAAGGTTATCGCCAAGTAAAACATTGCACTTTTTGAGGCCCCCGTCAGAGGCAAATCCCTGGGGTTAGAACACAGAAAACAGGAATAACTAGTAACCAGTCGCTTTTCAAGAGCTCCTGTGCTGTATGTAGGTACATTGAATACCATAAAGAAGATCGATATAAAAGAAAAGAATTAGAACTTGGAGTAGATATGCCCTCATTTCTTTAATCTAGTGATAGGTGAATATTATCCGTAATTTGTTCTCAAAAACAATATTGGTTATGCTTCATTGATACAAGTAGTATACGTAGGTATGTGGTTAAATTTTATAATTTTTGGGCAGATGCCCTCATTTCTTTCTGGTAAATACCTACCTATCCAGTCTTTGTTCTCAAAAACAATATTAGTTACGTTGCAGATATGCTGTATTGACACAAATGTACCAGTATGGTTAAATTTTGCGATTTTTTTTCCCAATTTTCATTCGCTGGCCAGTCAAAACTAGGTTCTAATTCTAAATGTAAACTTGATATTCAAAACAATGCAATTTCGTTCTCAATTACAATTCGGGGCAGTTGTTAAATAAGAGCGGATGGCACTGAAATATTTTTTTCTGAATAGTAATGACATTTAATTGATCCGTTACAGCAAGTTCTAGAGGAACTTTTTATATGAAAAATCAACTTTATTAATTGCAAACTATTCGAAAACCCTTGACAAAGCCAATGCAAATAAGAAAACCTCCCGCGAACTGTTTATTTCGCTAATCAATAATTACGGTGTTCTTTGTTGATATGCGAAATTCCTAGCCTTGATGTCAAACAGAAAACTACCTTCTGCGTTACGTACCCCTTGTTTTCATAATTCTCACCGGAATAAGGACGTTCCTTCACGCAGGGGCTCTTTAATATTTTTTAGGGGATGCAATTGCGTGTAAAAAATTTTATACTTCCGTCATCACCGCGACCGAGGTCAGTTATAAAAATACTCACCACACGAGATCCCCTGGAGAAATAGGGCGCAGACACCCACCCGTATCAACAAAAATATGTCAACCGACTGTCATTTGTTTATCACCCAAACAATAACGAGTCACTCGGAACGAACCGGCCAACTGAGACCGCGGTGTCGTCACCGACGAGGCGAGCCGTCGACGATGCCTTACTGCGGTGTATATTTCCGCGATGATATGCCTTGGTATTCCGTAGGCGATTAAACGCGACTTCGGAGCCCGTTCTAGACCTGGTGCTGTACTCGCGAATCGCGCCGCTGGAGTCGTCCCGCTAGTGGCGGGCGGTCGTGGCTGCGCGGCTGCGTACGGCGGTGTCAATGCGCTCGGGGGGCACTCGTCGACGTCGACTGGTACGGGGGAAACTGGAAAATTTACTTTCCACTTACTATCCGGAAATATATTTTTCCGAGAACTGTCATAAAATGTTGACAGTTTAATTCTGTGTCGAAAAGACAATTTAGTTAAGACTTTTTTGTTCTGGAATCAAAAGCATTTCTTTTTGAAAATTTATTAATTTCAAACGTTGAACCAAAGTAATCTCTTGAATTATTTTTCGATGCTGGCAGAGCAACCGATTCAGGAAAATATATTATTTCTTGAAACATAAGTTTTATTCCCCAATCCCCATGCAGTTTTCAATGTACCTATCTGCCATTAGAGTAGAATTCCAATCCCCATGTCATTTAATGGAGGTAATCTCTGCCCCAGAATTAGTAAAATAATAGCAGATCAAGAGAAGAGTCTGAACCCACTAAACATTTTTCAGTTTCTGACATGTTTCAGAAATGTTTCCATTTTTCTTGAAACGTTTCATAAAAAATCCATGCAACGTTCTGGTAACGTTCTATAAGCCCAAGATGTCCTCCCCAAAATACGTTTCCAATAAAACGTTTCAAAAAATTGGTTTCAGTAACATTATTTTTGTGTTCCATTTATGCCCTCGATATTTTTGTTTTACGTTTCAGTATATTTTCAACAATGTTTGAGTAACATAATAGTTTTATTACCATATTGTTCTCATAATGCTCTCAACTTTATATAATTTTCATTTCAAAAGCGTTTTTGAAATAGTATAAATGGTGTGAGTATTTTTTTAAATATCTCTAATACTCTTTTGTAATAATTTTATTTGTATTGTGAATGACTTAATTCGAACTAAAATAAGTTACATTGTATACTTAAAAAAAAAATAAATATGCGCTTCTAGTTTGGGGATGCGGCAACTTTTACCAAGGATTTTTTTCTTTTTGAGAAGCCACTGAAAAAAGTTTCTAATAGGATTACGAATTTTGCCATTCATCGTACAAATAATAATGTCACAAAACAATATCAGAAGCATTTAAAAAAGCTACACATTTTATATTGTTCAAATACGCTTCTGAAATGGAAATTTTCTAATGTTGAGACCATCATGAATATGGTAACAATGACGAACTGATAATTAGAAAAAGTTAGTTATGATTATGAATCTTGAAATGGTAGGTACATGAAAAACAAATAACATTACTGAAAAATAATATAAAGTTATAATTTCTTCTACGCATGGTCAATATTACATATATCCTTTTAATAATAATAAATTATACAGCAGAAATAAGGATACAAAATGATATCTTGACAAAGTAAATATCTGTAGGTATACCTAAACTCTTTTATTTAAGCATGCCTATACACATAAACAAATATAAACATTTGTACAAAATATAAAATAAATGACGTCTATTTCACTTGATTCATCCATATTTCAAATAGTTCTCACTGACTAAGTAGTTGCTCTTCAAATTATATCGAAACGTATAGTTGTTGTTCCATTTTCTTAGTTCTTGTCCCTTGTCCTCTTGTCTGTAATAGGTAGTGGGTATAACTATATTTAGGTAGATGTGACGCAAAATTGGAAATCTCTACACATATCGTTTTAAACATTTTGCATCAATATTCATTATTTTATATGCACCTTACAATAACCACAACTGCACACACTACAAATTATCACATAAAATAGCGTCAAAGTAAAGATGAATAACAACGAAACCAAGCAAACTGACAAACCGCAAACCTAACCTAACATAATACGAATTGAAACGACACACGGGAAACAAATAAACTCGGGCTGTTACGCGCAGTCTACGCAAGTCACGAACATACATTTTTTCTAGACTTGTGTTATAAATATGCTACCACATTTTTTTTTCTAATTATGTCTTTATATAACAAAGGCAAATGAACTAACGCTTGAGAAGGATTGGGGATTGAGAGCAAAATTTAACTAATGCCGAATGTTCCATAAGATAAGCAAAAATAGCAAAGGGTTGTTCGTCTGTTATGTTTCCGAGATCGAAAGGGAATGTTTCGAGTAATGTTTCAAACTCTCTTCAATTGTAACGTTTCGGCTATGTTTCACTAAATAAGTTTTCAAGTGTTACATTTCTGTAATGAAACAGAAACGTTTCTAGTTAATGACTCAAATATTTAGTAAAACATCTCATTTGCAACGTTTCATTTACGTTTCGTGTTTAGTGGGATTGTTTCCCTTCTCTCGTTACAAACATTAACAGAAAAAAGTTATACATATATAAATTAAAATCAAGAAATTGAACATTTCATTTGACCCAAAATGGCGTTCTGACATACCAATATCACTTTGTGCAATTTATCTATCAAAATTTTATTTTGCATAAAAATGTATTGAAAATTCACACTCATGATTCAAAGTTGACAATTGGAATTTCCCCAAAATGGAAGGTGCATGATTGTGGTTATAAAGTTGTAGTAGTAGAAACGATCTCACATTTATTTGTTTGTATAGAATAACCTTTTGTTTGTATTGTATATAATGTTACTCCCTTCCCATTGGCCAATTCAAATTCAGAATTTAATAGTATTATAAGTGAAACAATTAACTTAATATTCCGCTGTCCTAGATAATTTAAATGATATTTTCTAGCTTGATGAAGATGAAACTCAGTTAAAATTATTATTTTTTTCTTACGTCTACTTTTTATTAAAATAGAAAATATTTAACTAAAAATTTTAAATACGTATGTCCTTTTAAATAAAAAAAAATGTTACCGCCCCTATTGGTGACATCAAAATATTTACAAAACACATTCCCCTCATCTACCATTTTTTTCATACTTGATTGTTATTGCGTGCAATGCGCAAACATATAAATAGTACAATTAAATATGCCTTTGAATCGAAATTTTGGTCAACTTGCCTGAATTTTTTATATGAGTTAGTTTGAGGTATGTTATAACAATAAGTGACAGTAATTTTTTGTTCAACCCCCGGCCAAGGGTGAAAAAAGATAAAACAAAGAGGTGTTTCAAGATAACTCAAAAGGGGCAAGGGCTAGAAAAGAAAGTTTCTAATAAAAGTTGTAAAGCATACAATTCTACATAAAAATGGCGTCTCAACTTTTTCTTGTACTATTAAAATTAACAGAGTTAGGGAGGCTAGAAGTTAAGGGAAGATTTCAGAAATTTAAAAAAATCATAACAAGCAGAAAAACGAATGAATTTTGTATTTTTTTTTCAATCTACTCTAAAAAATGTAAAGAGACACGTATTTTTTTTATCGGCGCAAAAACATATTTAGGGGGTGAAATACACCCTCAAAGTTCGCCCCCCAAAACAGTTTTTTCAAAATTTCTGGGGTTCTGATCAATATTTTGAAATAAAACAAAATGGAAATTACTTATGATAAAACCCTTATTTTTTATTTCAGAAAAACTATATTTTTTATTTAAAACAAAATCATATTTACTCAAAAAGAATTAATTACTTATATGATTTATGTAAACAAATTGACAAAATTAAATTGACCTGTTTCGAGGTTTTCGTTAAAATTTCTGTTTAAGGGGGTGAACAACAAATTTGAAATTGTTATCTCTTATTAAAAATTAAAAAACATATCTATTTCTCTGAAAAGAAAGGTTACATTTTTTAGATTAGATCGAAAAAAAAATTACAAAATTCATTCATTTTTCTGCTTAAGATTTTTTTAAATTTCTGAAATCTTCCCTTAACTTCTAGCCTCCCTAACTCTGTTAATTTTAATAATACAAGAAAAGTCAAGTGGCCATTTTTATGTAGAATTGTATGCTTTACAACTTTTATACGAAATTTTTTTTCTAGCCCTTACCCGTTTTGAGTTATCTTGAAAAACCACTTTGTTTTATCTTTTTTCACCCTTGGCCGGGGGACGAACAAAAAATTACTGTCACTTATTGTTATAACATACCTCAAACTAACTCATATCAAAAATTCAGGCAAGTTGACCAAAATTTCGATTTAAAGGCTTATTTAAATTGGACTAAAAATTATATTGCTGGGCATCTCTAATATGTACTGCAATAATTGATTGCGGTACGTTATCATTGATAACGTACCGCAATCAGTTGATAACTTATCAATATCTAAAAACTTTACTGAAACAATGCTTTCCTTTCCCCACATTTTTTTGTTGCTCGAGATTTTAATGAAACCTCAATTTATTTAATTTTAAAAAAGAGATAGGTATAACATGTTGAAATGCATTGTTTCAGAGAAAAATGGAAATTAATTTCTGTCATTAAAGATATCTGAAATATATGCGACAGAGAACAAAAGATGTCTCTGCTATTCTTAGCGACCCCTGTTTCTTTGCTTTGAGTAAAAAATTAATCTTTGATTCCATAAACCTCCTTATGAGAAATTTTCTAAAAATTTTACAGAATTATCTTAAAAAAATAGAAAAAAAAATTTAAGGCTCTTGTAACTTTTCAAGTAAGCAAGAGTAACATTTTTCTGTCGCTTTACTTGTTCTCACGGAAGCTACCCTTGAAATATGGCCCATTCGCTTCTACATACCCTGTACATTGCGTGACAATGTTAGCAAACACCTGTTTCCTTCCAGCTTTTATTCTGTTATCAACACGCATCGTTCTGAGTTGGCAAAACACTATGACAATACAAACATTAGGCAAGTTCGGCATTGACATCTAGATGGTCTAGATATATCTCTTTGTCTTTTTATCTGTTACAATTAGAAAAGAACAAAAGCATCTAGAGCGTCTAGATGTTAATACCGAACTTGCCTATTGTGTGGAACGCACCCTTCTCCCACGGTGTTCTAAAAAAAATCCCGTGGGCTGTCATCCGCCAAAAAATAAACGTCAGTTTCGGATTTCGGGATTCCGGTCGGGTCAACAAATCACAAATCGTGCTATCTGTGTCACTTTTCTACCGGTTAATTTTAGTAATATAGGTTATATTCCCGTTACATAAATTTCCAAGTAAGTTGCATCCCAAATAATTTAAATTTACCAGAAACAGCGTACTTAGTAACCGGTACACGTTTTGTATACGGATAGGTTATGGCAAGTGGTTCTACAAGAAGGATTTTGGTGGAAACCAAGAATCTGTCCAGAGACCCTCCACCGGGCATCAGCGCAACGCCAGATGACAACAATTGCAGGTACTTCCATGTGGTTATGGCCGGTCCAAGCGGGTCACCGTATGAAGGGGGCTTATTTAAATTGGAACTGTTCCTCCCGGAGAACTATCCTCTGTCGCCTCCTAATGTAAGATTTTTAACGAAAATCTACCACCCCAACATAGACAAATTAGGCAGAATATGCCTGGATATTCTCAAGGACCAATGGTCGCCCGCATTGCAAGTTAGAACAGTATTACTTTCCATCCAAGCTCTCTTAAGTAGCCCGAATCCGGATGACCCGCTGGCCAACGATGTTGCGAATATGTGGAAGAGTAGGGAGCAAGACGCTGTTCTTAAAGCTAAGGAATGGACGAGGTTGTATGCGATGGAATAAGTCGTTTTTAATTCAAAATCTTGTAGTAGCTGGTGTCAGAATGACTGACTGTGATAATAATGTGTTAATACAGAATAATATATTAAACGTTTCACTTAGTTGTGTCACATATTGGGCCATGTCTACTACAGATATATTGCGTTCAATATGCCGGCAATTTTTTTTTACTCAGGAACTAAAAATTGAACAATATCTCAACTGTAATTGGTTTGTTTAAAATACTTTCTTGAAGTACACCAAACTAGTGACTTCTTTTTCTTAAATTTTTTAGTTGACATTTTTTACATTGATAATGCAAATATCTGTTAGTTATTAGTTAGTGCTGTTGACCATTATTCCATGTTAAAAAAATGAGGCAACGTTCTAAAATGTGTGTTAGTGTTTTTGGTAATTATATTTTTACTAGTTAATGCCTCATCTCATGGAAATTTGAACTTATGGACTTATAGGTAAATTACAAGGAAATTTATAACTACATTATTTAATTTGCTTTATGCGTCATACAGAGTTCCAGGGATTGTGAATTGGTGATAAGCTCATCTAAATTTGTGCATTATGCATGCTGGTGGATTTATGGAAATAGTTCGTTCTTTTTAAGTATAAATATTTGTGCACTCCTGGAACCTTTAAAAAATTTTTCGATTGCTCAAATATATTTATTTGTATTTAATTTTGAATTACTTGCAGTTTATCCTAATCTTGAAAAGCATACATTTCACTAGTCTTCAGACAAAGTATCATAACTGCATTTAACAAAAGTCGTACAAAAATTACTATTCTGAAAATTAGCGTTAGACAAATTTTTTTTATTTAATTAGTAATACTCCGTGAGTATAAGGGATATACAAGGTGGTGTATAATTGTATGTCGCAAAGCATACTACAGTAATAAGTATATAGGACGATTCACTTTTTACGATTAGGACTTTAACCATCGATAGATCTGGTCAAAATAATGTCATTTTGAAGTATACACTTTTTCTTTCAAAGACTTCCTTTTAGTACCTCTAAGCCCCTGAAAAAACATTTTTTTTTGTTTTTATTTATTTTTTAAACTATAAAAGCCATTTGCGTTATACTTAGTTTGAAGTGTACAAATAAAAAGGTCTTATCGATTTTACAAATTATTGCGAATAGATCAATCATAGGCATCCATAAGCAGCTCTGATAACCCCCTATTTTTATAATTTCTACGCCACTGGAAATTTTTCAAAATGAATATATTTTTTTTTACATTACACTTTATTTTGCAGCAAAAAGGTCACTTACTATTTTTAAATGCTTGGTTTTTGAGAAAAATGGCTTATGGATTCATTACATGTGAAATGGTTGATTTTCAAACAAAGTAATACAGAATAAAATATTTAATATTGAGAAACAAACAAAAATAACAATTAACGATAGAGTACAAAAGAAAAAGTATCACAATAAATGTTCGAAATGTTGTCTTCGAACTTTAATGCATTTCTCACATGGCTTAATTAAGCTTAAACATATTGGGGTTGTGTTTAAGAGTTTTACAATTATTTTCAATTCTTCTTAACATTTCAAGAGTACAGACTAGTGAACTATACACCCTTTCTTTAATAAATCCCCAAACGACATAATCCATGGGATTTAGATCTGGCGATCATGGCGGACAAGCAATGGGATCGGTACCAGATTCTGCATGATTCATTTCAAAAATACACCTGATCCATCGACGTGGATAATGCTCACCAAGCCTCTTGTAATTTTTAATAGGAATTGTGGTTTTTGAGATAATTAAAATTTTCGATATCTGCGGTAAAAAAAAGCAATATTATAACGTACAGATTAATTTGTGGTCTCTGCTTATTGCATGACAAATTGATTAAAAAACATTTCCCTTAGCTTAACCCAAACATAAAATTCTTATTTACTAAATCGTTGAAAGTAGTATGTTTTTTATCCTCAATTTAGAATAGAAATTATAAAAATAACTTACGTGTCACTTATTTAAAACAATTTTCAAAGATTCCTAATTAATCTGCACTATTCTTACTTTTTAGTGTCGAGATATCAGAAATTGTAATTATCTCGAAATTATATAAAAATTTACAAAAGGCTCTGTCGATTTCAATGTTATTTATAAAAATGACATGGCTGATCCCTATATCTACTCCACTGCTTACACAGGCACAAAAAAAATTTATTCATATACTTTTTAAGAATATATTTTGACCCTCTATTTTAAACCGCTGAAGAGTCATATCAGAATTGCTCCATTCCAAATCTGGAAATCTTGATTTCCTCAAGGATGCATTTTAAAGAAACAAATGCAGTAATAAATTTTTTTTATTCTGGCCGTTTTGACAAGTTGTTGTGTACTTTAATTTCAAAATCTCAAGTATTTTAACAATAAAATAAAATTAGATTTCCACTGATTCTGAGCTAATTTTTGAGGTTAGAAAAAGAGCCTCAAGTAATGACTCCATCGTTTTCAACGGGTCAAAATACAGGGGTATCATACTCTGTTAAAACGAATATAATTTTTTTTGTAGCTGTGTTGTTTTATTTTTTCAATAATAACACTAAATTTTATCCCAGTTCAACTATTGGAATTCAGAAACTTTCAATTTTTAGAACTTTCCAGGTTGTAAGTACTTCCAAAAAAATTTTATTAAGAAAATGTTCATAATTTTTCATGTTTATTTGCAATATACAATTACAAACCACCCTGTACATATATTTTCTGAGGTCATCAATTGACAAAAATTTATTTTTATACACAGCATAAATCATTTTAAAAATTTTATCAGATCTGGAGGTCTTTGTCTGGAGGCTGACGATTTACAATATGAATTAATATCGAGCCATGACATCCTTAAAACTTGTGACAAATCTATGTAACAGCAAATGTTATTTCTGAATCTATTAACAACATTCATTAATTTATCACTAGTTGTAGAAAACCAAAGATTATCAGTTGACAAATTTCTGACATTTCACGTTTTATTTTTAAAGTATTTTAACTATTTACAATGTTGAAGATGATCGAGACATAGATATATCTTTTATAATTGTTGGGAGTGCTAAGAAAGCAGGGATCCGATACTAAAGCATCCGTTGATCAGTTCAGAAACTTGAGACTGACAACAAATACATGTTAGAAATGATATTAGATATATCGCATTTCCTTTAGGTAGTCTGTGTAGAATCCTACCTTGCATTTAATGTAGTAACTCATTGCAACAATGTTGTTAGTGTTCATACGTATTTAAATAAATTTAGTTCCTTTTTATGTTGCCTTTTTATTTTATGTAGCATATAATAGTAATTTTTGTATCTAGTACGCGAAATGGTGCTTTTGCGTTTTTTTTATTTATTCCGTAACAAATGCAAATATCCCCCCAAAATTTTGGGGTTTGGAGTTCTTTGGGTAGAGGAATTGCAATTTGTTCACGTTTTGGTTAAAGGTCCTAGTGGGCACTAGCTGCAGTGTGAACGTGTTAAAAACGACATAACTTTTTTGTGTTTTAAGTTGTCTCATCTTTGGTATCAAATTCTTATTTTCCAACTTTTTTTACACAAAAAAGGTATACTTTATGAAAGTAGCTGTCTCGCACCGTTATTGAGATATTTGGCTTTGAAACTTCCAATGCTGTTGCGTTAATTACAATTAATTAAGTACCTACAGGTATTAATTTAGCATAAAGATTCTTAAGTAGGATTTTACGAAAATCAAATAATTGACGTCTTCCACTTGTCTTATTGATGTCATTTGTATGCTACTTTCCATTAAGTATTATAAGTACGTACCTAATTTAAATTAAGTACTTCTTAGCTTACAATTTAAATTGTATATACATAAATGTGAAATAGAATGCTGAAACTTTCATTTTTGGGGTTACATGAAATCATTTGTTTATGGAGAAACTATAAACACCTGAGAAATACTTTGGCAGCGGGTTTTATATGCTGCAAAGTCTTCGCGTTAAAGATTTATACTTTAACACTTTTATAATCTTTTAATAAACGCGTTGATAAATATATTGAAGTTAAAGGTGGGCATTTTGAGCAATTATTGTCAAAAAGGCATGTTTTTTACTAATGTTCACTATTTTACTGTTCATTACAATTTTTAATTCTAAATAAACCCTTGTTTTTAACATTCCCAAATTATTTTAATTATTTCAACTATTAGCATTGGAAGTTTCAAACCCAAATATCTCGGAAATGGTGTGAGACAGCTACTTTCATAAAGTATACCTTTTTTGTGTAAAAAAAGTTGGAAAATAAGAATTTGATACCAAAAGAGATCCTTTAAAGTACAAAAAAGTTATATCGTTTTCAACACATTCAATCTATGGCAGCTAGTGTCCTCTATAAACTGTAATCAAAATGTGAGCAAATTTCAATTTCTCTACCCAAATAACCCAAAACCCCAAAATTTTGTAAAAATATTTGCATTTATTAAGAAATAAATGGAAATAAACTAAAATAATATTTTACATTTAACACCCTGTGTCTCTTTAACTATTAAATTTTGGACTAAGGTAAGTTCAGCTAAATTGTAATATTTTTGCTTCGGGAAAATACCCATGAATTTTGGCCCATTACCTCGGGACCACACTGTATTGTAATTCATATTCTAAGAGTGAACTTAGAAAGTGAAGACAAGCATTTACCAGGAGAAGTATTGGAAGCGGCACAAAGTGCTGTTTGACATTTTAATCCCCAAAAAATCATCGAGACAGTACGAGATTGCCTACAATGAATTCAAGTAGTGGTGTAGTTTGAAGAAAATTGAAAAAGTGTCTGAAGCGATATTACTGGCATATTTCGAACACAAAGTTAATAAAATTAAACCTTCAAAGTTATGGTCAGTATATTCCATGTTAAAAAGTACACTAAATAAAAAAAAATGTAAAGAGAAAATTTCCAAAACTAATACCATATTTCAAAATCAGATCAGTTGAATACCCTCCGCAAAAATCCAGAAAGAGGAAATTGAGAGATTTTTACAAGAAGCATCTGATAATAGATTTCTATTAGAAAAGATAAATCAAATTAATATAAATCGATTAATTTAACTAATTTTGGATAACTTTTCGGGTCATTTTAATAATCGGTGTTTGTGGAGCTTTGAGAAGGGATGAGCTGCTAAAAATAACGATCTATGATATAGAAGAGAAAAATTTAATTATTATTATAAGAATTCCCAATTCAAAAACTCATACTACGAGATGTCTTGTGATTTTAAGTCCAGACCAAATGAGGATATACCGCAAATAGTGTGCTATTGTTACCATCTTCAGCAGAGCCTATGGTACCTGTCAATCATACAATGTATGCAGTAAACTTCAACAATTACAGCAGCAGCCTCATTGAACACCCAGAACTAGAAACTATGATAACTGACAGCACACTGGATCTGGCATAAATTCATTGCAATATCGGCACTTTTTATTTACATGCAGTGCAAAAATTGTAGTCGACCTGTTTATAATAGTTATTGTTTTGTATTGAAATGTTGTATTACTTAAAATGTATATAGTTTAATTAATAAAATCATAAATAAGTTTCGAAAAAATTACAAATTATTTGAACAAAAAAGACTCACTTTGTCAACTGAAAATCTAAAGAAAATGTCGACTTTTGATCACAATTTTCTAAAAAATATATTTTTTTATCTGCAACACCTTCCAGTACATCGTTTTAAGTAAAACAATTATTAAATAAATAATTTTATTGATCTCAAAAGAAAATATATAAATAAAATATATATCGAGAAAATTAACATCCACGTTTGTTTCAACAATTATGCTGATGTGTAAATAAACGTACTTCACTGAAGTATTAAATAAATTTCTGTCATAAAATTATCCTATTAGAAGACCTGCTAGGTAAAAATTGTCCAATAGCAAATTATTTCTTTTTCGGCGCGGATTTTGAGTAATACGCATCCAAGAATAATGCTGCGAATACAATCACAGTGCCAGTCCACTGTCGTGTACTTAAAGCGTTTCCAAAAAGAATCACGGATCCTAGTACTGTGAAGAATTTCCGAGTTGTGGTTACAATGGACAACACAAGAGGACCAAATTCAGATACCTAAAAAAAAAGTCGTTTTATAACATCCGACCACGTCAGTTTTACGTTCCTTACCATTGAATACAGAAACAGTTGTCCGATTGCCGATGTTATTCCCAATAACAGTAAATTGTGTAAAACATAGGGATACCTCATGGCAAAATCGTAAAATTCCAAATATTCACCAGTTATAAGTATCGTTATGAATAAAAATAAAGTACACCAAGCATTGCCAACTTTCATCATCTGCAAACCTGTAGGTTTGGCTTCTGCTCTAATTCTTTCCTAAAACAACATAAGTATAATTAATCGTAAGTAGATTACACTTAAAATAACATAATAATAATTAATATCAATAATTAAAAAAAAAAAAGATTTCGCCTAGTGTGAGACATGCATTCATAATACCTACAGATTAGTAGGTCGCTCTTTGCCAGTAGATATGATTGCTATTAGCAATATGGTGCAAATATCTTAAACGAAATTGTTTTATGTTAAATGTTTGACAGGCTCAGTGGTGTGCTATTTTTATGCACTATGAGAATATAACTATATTATTCTTACCTGGATTGCTCCTGTTAAGCCATCCATAAGCAGAGAAAGAAACAGCAACAATTCTCCTACACCTAGCAATGTCTCCTCTGTCGTATGATGGGTACCCTTATTTTCCTTAAGCATAAATAGAACAATGCCTAAGACTATCATAAACACAAAAATATATTTCCTAAAAGGATACGACTTTCTCCCTAACAGCACTCCCAGTATCATCACGGGAATAGGCTTTGCAGATTTACCGATGACTTGGGTTGGATATGGCACCCATTGCAGTGCCATATTAGAACAAACCATCGCTAATAAGTACGTAGTAGACATGCTTACATAATATAATTTTGGTGTAGTGTCTTCGGATTGAGTCCATATACTTAAAGCGCCCTTCGCTACTACGTAGTTTATAATACATTGCACAAAAACTAATGTTAAAGCAAAGGAGAATTGTTCTATTTCAACCGCTTTCACGCCCTCCTCGTTAATAACATCACGCGAATATTTTCCTCTTGTTATTTTTTCTTGCAGTATTCCAAAATAAAAATATGATGCGAATATCCCAGCAGCATACACAAAAAATTTATTTCTGTGCATTTTTTATGGAATCAATTACTCCGCCTCTTTAAGATAAGTAAAACCGTATTTTTGGGCACGTTTCAAATAAAGTTTAATTCATCACTACACACTACAAGATGTTATTTTTTAAATTAAACCAAATTGTTGCCCAAGCAGCTGTTTTAACCTATAACATAAATTCGGTGACGTTTGTGACGTGTTTGTCGGCATTGATTGAATGGCTTATTTCTATTGGATGTAACAGTACCAATCGCATTGGCACACATAAAATTTTCTATATTTTCTCTAAAAATTATTTATAAAATGTAGGTATCTATCTACGTATGTGTGCATATTATATTTTCAGTAGCGCACCTTTGTTTCCTTTACTTCCTTTTGCTAAATAATTTTTTTTATGAAACGTTGAAAATATGTCATATCGTTTGTATGGTAATTTCCAGCGAATGTAAGCAAAATATTTGTTACAAGCACTGTTGCCAGATAGTTCAAAAACATTTTTAAGTCTAAACTAGATTTGTGCTTTACCACAAATAATGTGTGTGTGTACTGCTATCTTTAAATATATACTATTATACAATACTACATATTACTGTCCTACTTCTGAATCGTTATCATATGAATGAATTTATTATCTAACTGTTGTAGTTTTACAACACGACACCAATGCATCTATTGTATCTAGATAGTGATATTTCGTGTTTATGAGTTTATGTTGGCAATGTGGTAATGTGTTTTTTTATTTATCTACTATTAACATTAACAGGAGGGACTTCCCCTGTTTGGCTAAACGCCCTTTTTGTTCGCCCAATTTAGTGGTTAAAAGGAATTATGGGTGCTGGAAATTCTAATTACTTGACGGGATTGTCCGACGATAGTGATTCTGATAGCGAATTTGATTATTCACTGGAATCGCGACCTGGTAAGTTTTGTTATCCAAAATTATTGTGGCAGATGTATTACCCTAGGTATTTATTTTTCCCGTAGATAAGAAAACCGCTATCACTAACAGTATTAACACAAATTCCTCACAGAATTTGGTTATAGAAGTAGCACCAAACCTGGAGATTGATTATACAAGTAAAGGTAAACAATTTCCTAGAATATTAAATTGCTGTGCTAGACAGAAAAAGTACAGTTTATTTAATGATTAGGGGGTTTACAATACTACTATTTATAACTGCAAATTGTATTTGTATGTTTCTAATTATCATTGAATAAATTTTACTGTGTAAATAATTATCAGCATACTGTGGCTTAATATCTCTTAAAAAAAAATGTTAGTAAAAGTAAAAGTGTTAAGTAAATTGTTTATACTGCAGAGATGATTACAACTGATGCGTCTGCCCAAAGTTTTCTAAGACCAGAGATTGCTTTACATCTTGACAAAGTACTTGAAATAGAAAAGAGCCTAGATGATTATGAAATGGTAGGTACTATTAATTAACTGTGTTTTATAACGTTTTTGTTGTGCCTTGCTTTTTAGGTTTCATTGGTTTACCTGCTGTATGAAGAACCAAATTTAGCATTACAAGAATTGATATTGTTCCTAGATGGAGCTCAAAAAAATCTCTTGTATAGTTGGGCCAATTTAGAAGAAAGCCGTTCGCATCCTTGGCAAAAAAAGTTGATTGAAGCCTTATGTGTCATTAAAAATTACCAAGTTTTGCGTACTTTAGGTAATAAGACCGTTATTTTTGTTATGTAATTAAAATTTATTAACAATTACCGTCATTTATTGAAGGCTACAAGAAACAGGATGTGAAAGATTACTATGCCCCACATATAGCGACTTCTATTACAAATTTAAACAAAATGAAGAAAGTAATCTATCTGATCTGCGAGAGATTGAACTGTGCAAAAACTGAGAAATTTCTTAGCACTGTAAAGTTTCACTTTCAAGAAAAAGGGCTGATATTTACTGAATATAGTCCAGAATTTTTGGAGATGTATTTTTTAAAATGGGAAACCATGGGTTATATATCCATGAAAGATATGACTAATATTAAGCAAGCGTTTAAAGTTATAGAAGAAGAAGCATTGTGGGATGCTTTGGAAGGTGTAATTCTTCCACGTGAAAAACTCGAAAAAAAATGTGTGGTAAGTTTTCAAAACATATTTCAATACCTTAATAAAAATGTTTTGTTTGTAGGAGAATATCCAGGAGTCTGGTGTGGGAGAAAAGACACCTAAACCAAGAGGACTATCTACAAGTACTGATACTCATCAGCCTGCTTCGACTTCTAGGGCATATTCAGGAGATTTTCTATCTTCATCGCCTAGCATCAGACAAGATAATGGACCAGATTTTAAGGAATTGCACACCGATAATCATAGATACGAAATAGATCCCGAAAATCCGGGTATAATATTGATTATAAACCAGGAAGAATTCTACACTGAAATTGATGAAGATTATAAGGTAAAATATACTATTTAATATTTATTATTGGCGTTTGTCTGAATCAATTAAAATTGATTTGTAGCATTTGCTGCCAACGGACATCGAGAGCAACAAACTGGAGTCGAGGAAGGGTACAGAAAAGGATAAAGAGAAGCTGATAAGCACTTTCACGAAATTCGGTTTTAAAATAGTCGTCGCGGAAAACTTGACTCATGAAAGTTTGACTGCTCAAGTCACGGAGGTTGCTAAAAGTGTTACGATTGAATCGAGTTTGTTCGTGTGCATCTTATCTCATGGTGATAAAGGTAGAAAAAAAAAAGGTTGAATATTATATTTTACTAAGTTGTAATTTTATAGATGTCGTGTATGGGGCGAATAGCTGTAGAGTGAAAGTAAACAAAATTCAAGAGATAATGCGCAAAACTAATAGAGAAAATTTGGTAGGGAAGCCCAAGATATTGATTCTACAGTCTTGCCAAGGGAGGCAGTGTCTAAAATGTAAGTAAAAACATCACAAGATGTACAGGGTCGTCCGCGATTGTGTTGCGATAATAAGCGGGCTGCACAATGTATTTCCTTGTCATGATGATACGACGCAAAACAGCTGGATCGTTCGTCGGTTGTCTCACCTATGGCACACTGATGAGGACTAATAAGTACGAAACTGGTCTGTGTCTGGTGGGTTAAACTGACGAACGATCCTAGGTGTTGCGGGTATAATTCAATGCTGGTAGGGGCATATAGCCCTTGGAGTAGTTGTTTCTTGCAACACTGACAATTAAGACTCGGTTAGAATATTTAATCTACTCAAATATCTCGAAAGATGTTATTAGATGTACATTAAAGAGGAATAAGCAGATGACAAATAAATAAAGTTAATAATTCATTATCGTCACTATTAAGTGAATATGGAAGAAGAAAATTATTCAAAAAATAATTAAATTTGCTATTTATTCATATTTAACGTAAATAATTGAACTCTTGTTAAGAAATTATTTAAAAAATGGAAAAAATGAGATTTTATAAATCCGTTGATAGAAATGATACTTTCTGATCCTCTAGATCAGCGGTATTCAAACTTTTACGACTTTCGGAACCTCGCCAACATTTCGATTTTTTTGAGGAACCACTACACCTAAAAAAGATTTTCAAACACATTTTTCATTGATTATTTAATATATTTATAAATACTACGATTAACAAAATAAATATTCCACTAAGGAAAAATTAAAGTTAAAGTAAATATTTATTGAGTAATTAAAAAAAAAGTAAATATAATCAAAGACTGGGATGTGCTTGAATATTTTTAGATAATGTATTAAAATCAGGTGCTATTGTCGTAAGTTGCAATCTCATTTCAAATTCTGCATTAAGCGTATTGCGAAACTTTGTTTTTGTCGCTACGTATGTGGAAAATGATTTTTCACGCAGGTACGTAGTTGCAAAAGGCATTAATACATTTATTGCCTGGTCAGCAATTTCAGGATATTCCTCATAAATTTCTAGTAAAAAATCGGGGAAAAGGCGACGTAACCAACGCAAAGAATGCTGCGCCAGCTTATAAGTTATAAGCCGACTTACTTGCACTTGCATAAATAGATAAAGCTCTTATAGTAACTTATATGCGTGTACTTATAAAAATAAAAAGACCTTTAAAAGAATTACTTCTCGCGCTCTGTAATAGACGAAATTCAATTTTTTCCATTTCTTCTATGTATACGATTCTCCAATACCTCTGCAATAAAAAACGGGCGTCCTTATTGGGACACTTGGTCAACAGCATTTCTTTCGCTTATGAGTTTTACGAGTTATTGGAGTGCTTGATTAAATCTGCTTTCATATGAATGTTTTTTTTTATATTTTGTTTGAAAAAATATGTTATTTTTTTATTATTCAGTTTCGAATTATTTCCAGTAAACGAGATCACTGAAGAAGACGAAAGTTTTTCAATTACCACAGACGGGCCTAATAGTAGCAATCAGTCGGTACCCCGAACAGTGGACATGCTAACGTTCTGGGCCACTGTGCCCGGTTACGCCGCAATAAGAAACACGAAAACCGGGTCTTGGTTTATTCAGGCTTTAGTCAAGAAAATGATTGAGCTGGCAAACCAGTAAGATTTTCTTGTTTATTTTATTATTTTATGTTTAGTATAACATAAATCGTACGTTTTCAGGCATCATTTTGCAGACATATGTACCAGGATACTCGACGACGTGTCTGGCCAAACGTGGACCGTAAGCGAGGAGGAGAAGAATGCTATGACTCCGATGATAGTTTCCACTTTGAGGAAATATTTTTATCTACCGCCATTGAGACAAGATTAGTTGTACAGGGTGATTCACTATATTTTGACCCCCCTTTTAACTTTTTTCTTTTAAGAGTTATAAAAAAATCTCACATTTTTTATAACTCTAAAAGTTTTTGTAGGGGTCAAAATATAGTGAATCATCCTGTACAACTGTGGATAATAAAGTTTCCGATTTAAACTGCTTACAGCACTTTATAAAACATGGTTTTATTTTATTGGTTTTGTTTTTTAAATGGCTTTAATTTTTTTTAAGTCAGAAACCTTTATTTGTCCACAGTTGTGCTTGTCGACCCGCGGTTGTTCTCGTTCAGATTATAGTGTTTTACACACAATAGAAAAGCAAACACTAAACTATTGGAAATTACTTTGATTTATTTGTTTTAGGTAAAATTTTGTATTTTAATCTCAACTTTAAAGCTGTTGCATTTTCTTTTTTTTTTTTAAACAGCGATAGATAAAGTATTTGTGTAAATTTGAATGATTTCTTATTATTAGTAATAATATTGTATATATTTTTATATTTAAGACAAAATAAAATATTCCATAGTGATTATAAGATGTATACGATTTTTCTGGGTACCCGTTTTTTCCATTCCGGTATTGGATATTTTGTACCGGTATTGCAAAGTAAATCTAAAATTTCAGGGAGGGTTCATCGATTACCGGTAACAATTTTAAATAAAATAAGGCGACGAGTGTAATTTATCATTAAATAGTGCATACCTTGAAGTACCTAAATTCTAATGATTTGACTACTTTTCTTCGTAGAAAAACTAAAACACACTCCCCGATTGCAACCAAGGCAGATGCAGAATTGTGCTGCAATTTAATTTGTTCTTTTTAAGGGGGGAAATCTCATTAGGCATGGAACAAATTGACTACAATTTGATCAAACTTTGACATTATATTAATACCTTGAACTACATTCACAAATTTTTTTAAGTCATTTGTGTTTAAAATGCCGAAGTTATGCGTTGTCCACTGAAGGTCATCATTTGGCTTGGTTGTTCACACAAAGCAAAATATTACTTTTATTCTAATGAATATTTGTCGATATATTTTACTTATTACCTACCTTTATACTTTTTTATAAACTGGTGTCTAATTTTCCCCGGACAACATACACTTATTTAAATGTTTTTCCATCATACTGGAATTCTTAAATCATTGTTTTTGAGCAAAAGTTACATTTATACTAATTTTTACTCAATGCAAAAAAATATAACCAAACTGTTGATTTTGGCGTCATACTTTATTTATAAACTATTTGTGTATTAAATATTAAATTAAGAATCAACTGATTACTATTTTCTAATCGTTAACTTTACCAAAAACCAAAAATAATAAACATATAAAAGAGGTTATGTTATGTTTACAATGTCAGTTTCAGTTAAACTATTACCAATAAAATTATAAGAAAATGGCTAATCTAATAACGCTAATATGGTCGTGTTCTTTTATTCATCACTTCGATGTGATGGATTCCGTACAGCCAATAAGAGATCAGAATTTTTTAAACAGACCAATCGTAATACATCGATGGACTTCATGGCATTAAAACCAGTAATAAAAGAACACGGCCATTCTTTAATTTTACATGTACCAACCTCAAATAATTTTTGCAGGAATTATGAATGCAGCAAATAATTCCGCTCATGCGCATACAACTTTTCAATGTTGAAAAGTGTCCTAAGGACATAGCAACTTTTCAGCTGACATGTCCGCGGCACATCTCTAACTCAAAACACAGAGGCCGTGGCGATAGCGGTGAGATCGCTACGGCATGGAGACGTTGCGGTGGTGTCCTGTTACCACCCACCCAGACTACCACTACTTGACAATGACTTAGACAAAATCCTTTCCTGGCCCCAGACAATTGCCATCGGGGACTTCAACGCGAAGTCCCCCATATGGCACAGCGGGACGACGACCACAAGAGGTCGCGTCCTGCTGAATTACCAAGACAGACACGACGACTTGACTATACTCGGACCGACAGAACCGACACATTACGGACCCGTAGGACGCCCCGACGTTATCGACATTGCCCTCTTAAAATCTATACCGTTAAATGCCCAAATATCCACCCAATACGAAGGGTCTTCCGCCCACAATCCAATATTTCTGGATCTGGGGCGAAGACAGAGATATGAAGGCACCTTCACGAGGAGGTTCACTGACTGGGAGCGTTTCCGAACAGTAATGCAAGGAAACATGGCGCTCCCAGTCATCGAAACCACCCATGATCTGGAGGCGGCAATCCTCTCCCTTGAGACTGACATTAAAAACGCCCTGACTCAGACTACGACGGAGACTATTGTCCCCCGACTGACAAACCCCCGGGGCACCCTCCCCGATGACATAAAAAACTTAATACGTGACAGACGACGTGCG